AATGCTAATGTTTAATGTTGATTGATGAACATTTGCCACACAGTTTAATAATGGATCGGATTAGCTTCTTTGCCTATAAAAACTTGGGCAATTTTCGTATGATATAAATTTTAATGTTAGATGATCTGAAGTTAATCTTCTGTTCAAGTGGTTGCTTTACTGATGACATTGCAAAATGAATTAATTAATATCATTTCAAATAACGCTTATTAGCTTATTACATTAAAAAAATTAAATCATTACTAATTAAATAGATACTTTGAAAAGTGCTGTGCTCATTCGTTCTGATGTCGATTATTTTGTGAGAATATAATGCGCATGGTTTGACATACAGATTTCAGCACATATTTCTTGGCTTAAAAATGGGAAAGAATGGTTTATGGGATAGAAATATCCTCCAAGCATTGCCGTATTTTTGTTTCTAAATAATTCATTTATAAAATGTTTGATAAGTTTTTCGAAAATTATCATTTCTACTGTTTCGATTATAACCTTTTTACATTTTGATATACAACAGTGCCTACTAGAGAATGTTCTCCGTTTCAAAGTTATTATTTAATTATTAATGCATGAATAAAATTATATCAGGAGCGAATCTATCCTGACTAACTCAAACCATAAAGCTGGGCGTGCATTTTAATCCTTGTAAGACTTCATAATATGACAACGTAATTATCGTGGGTATATACCTTGTGTTGACATAGTTGAACACATGCAGAATTAAATTAGTAAACAAAAAAAATATTTCATTAAGATATTATAACAATATAGGTACTCATAATATAATAAAATAATATAGGTAACACATGACTGCGTAGGAAGCGAGAGACCACCGACCTGAGCAGCGCTGCATGATTGAGTTTCGAAAATAGAAGTAGAACCGTCGTCAGCGTCGAGAAAAAAAGTCAGCCAAATGAGGCTCAAGAAAATTATTATTACCCATTGGAAGGGCGAGGAGGAAGAAAAGTCTATGGGGTAACATGAAAAATATTTCTAGAGAATCTGTACAGACGATGTGAAACTTGAGAGGAATTTATTGAGTAGGTGTGTAATCTGTCATTTGTATAATATGATGAATACGATATAATGACGAAGAAAGTTGCTGAGATATGATTTATTTTGTGTACTAGCAGAAAATTTCAAGAAGTTGATGATCATAGAGTTCATACTCTGAATAATTAAATAGCGTGATTCATGATTTTTTTAACGAACTACGATGATTCAAGCCAAAGCAAGCAACTGCGCGGGCGGCCGAGCTGAGTTTGGCGTGGCGAGGGGGGGCCGCGACACGGTCGGCAGATGACGTCGGCCGGCGCAGCTGCGGCGCTGACTCATGCGGTTGAGGCGGGGAAGACTAGCACAGATGTTTGGCAGGGTCACTTTAGGGTAGAAAAATATGCTAATATGTGGGCAAGTGGGAGTGCGCTCAGCGACAGATAATCTTTGCTTGGATTAGGTAGCGAGCTCGAGTAGATTGCTGTAGGATAGCTTACATGGTGATCGATAATGTTCCGATGACGAAAAAAATGTAATTTTTTATCCGATCAAGAGAGTGAGTGATCGAAGAGAAATCAAGGAGGAGGTTTAACTGAAAAATGAGCTGCTAAGTTTTAATTTCTAATGGAGTATGTTAGACTTAGTAAGAAGTGAAGTCAGAATGAAAGAATGTGTCGTCTTATACGATATTCGTCGCAAAATATGCTTAAAAAATGTCATCCCCTATTTGATCTAACTTTAACGCAAAGAACTATAATTTTAAGCAAAAATTTTACGATAGCTGCAGTGGAGACCTAATAATCCTCTGTAGTATCGGTTAATTTAGATAGGGAGATAGGGAGATTTAATTAGGGGAGATAGGGAGCCATTTAATGGGAGAGTGAAGCCATTTAATGATGTTTAATTGTACTGAGTGAGTATTAAGGAGCTGAAGTAGGATTTAAAATATTGATCGATCATTCTAAGCCAGCCAGTGGTGACTATGCAGCAGGTTAATGAGTTTATTAACTTTTTAAATTTGAGATGCGACTTGCTGAAATTCACTTAAATGCTCTAACGATTACTTAGAAAGTTTTTAAACAGTATTTTTTCTAGTCAGCCTATCTCCCAAAAATTGTAAACTATGGCCAGAAGCCAAAAAAAAGATGAAATCTAACCTAAAACTAAAGGCTTGTGAGTCGGTAAAAAATTTGCGAATGATTAGACTTTGGTCGAACAGAAAGTTTACCGTCTTCTATAACACTTGTTTATTCACCTGATGAAGCAAGTAAACAGAAAAGGTTCGGGGGGAAGGGTCCACCGGACACTTTTTGTTTTACGGTGCAGTATCGAACATTAATTTTTAAAAAGGTTAATTATTATTCATGTAATTGTCATACACCGTGATCGATCCAAAATTTAGTTCCCATCCGATTTTTTCAAAAATGATCAGACATTTTTTCGATCACAAATTTAACCACGTTATAATTCCTAACCCGCGACACCTTTGCTGTTCTGAATTTTTGCACAAACGCCTTACTTTTCTCACATGCCACTCATATAGATAAAATTTAATAATATAGTGACTGCTGCCCTGATATGTTTATTAAAGCAAACATTGTACAAACTTGTTAAAACAAAGACAGCTCGTTATACTCGGCAAGGTCACAAATACAAAAATTTTCAACAGCTTTAAAATCAAGTTTCGTTATAAGTCGTAAAATCCGTCAGCCCCATGCAAATTTTTGAAAACTAAAAGTTTAATGTGGTAATATTGTATGCATTGTATGCATTCATATTCTAGTTAAAATATTGTATTCATTCACTATTGTCAATTCAAATCTGCTTCTGCCAGCATATTCAAATGTTATTTATTTTTTCTTATTTTATTTGCTATCCTGGGGTTACCTATCACTGCCATGAGTAATTTAGAGCAAATAATAGGAGAATGAAATTCATTAACCGAAATTCGATCTAAAACTTATTCATGAAAATTAATGTTGTTTTCTGATCCGTTCACGTTAGACTTTCTTTGAATATTATTTATAATGCATTGTTGAAATTAGATTTATTTTATTTTATGGATATGTCTGCTGAAACTGCACGATACATAAAGATTAGAAATCATCTACAATATTTATTTATTTGAATTTGTCTCTTCGCACCACGTCTGAAGCTTGGGTTGCTCAGAGTTATTACCATCCATATTAGGTAACCTTCAGTCAAAATCTGAACTGGGCTTTTTGAAGTTGAAACACAGAAAAGTTGATTACATTTTTAGTTACCTCTTTGAATAGGAAAACGTGTCGAACCGACTGTTATTTTTGCACATTTTTATTCAAAATCTTGACTCCGTAGGAGTGAGTTTTATTATATGACGTACTTTATCGAAACTCTGACGAAACTCTGATAATACGTTGTTCGTATTTCCAAATGCCTAGGTTTAATAATTTATTAAAATTCCAGAACGCTCTGAAAAAATATTGATCTTTCACGATCAATCTAGAATTAGATGGCAGGATTTGCCTGTGTATGCACGTGCGATTAATGATCAGAAAATTAAATGATTTTAAATTATCAGGGAGTCGAACATTTCTTCAGATGATGCAGTCAAATTTATCAATTAAAAGTAGAAGTAAAAGGAAGACGACGGTAAAGATAATGTAGTTTCTGATAGAAAAAATAGTTCTGCGCCAATATTTTAGTAAAGATAATGCAATAGAGAATGTTCCATTATTCATTTTGCTTTCGATCATGGAAATAGTTTCAAACTATTTTCATTTCAGATAATGCAATTACAAACGTTTCTTCATTTATTTTGATTTTGATCAGGGAAATAATTTCTAATTAATTTTTCATATATATCAAATAATACAAAATATAAATTGGGCTATATTGTATCTGATCGATTGAATTTTTCCTAACTGTAGCCGCTGTTCATTAGATTGTATTATTGAGATTAATTGGACTAGTTTATTGAGATTATATATTTCTAATCATTTCCCTCTGGCAACATCTACTATAGTCACTATTCATGCGCCAGCGGCCAGTGCCGGTGATCCACTCGCTTTACCTGTTGCAGTTACTATGTTGTAGTTAAATGTTTATTTATTTCTATGTTAAATTTTACTATAATCTGTTCATTGCTCTTAGTTCGTTGTTTACTAGCCTGTGCGTTCCAGTGTATTGGTATATTCAATTGATTTATTTTTATTTATTTTCTATAACATTACAGTACGTCTAACGAGGATTCATTTTCTATGTATATTGTGCAAACTTCCTGAATAATAGCAACTTGCTTGAATTTAAATGAAGTGAACAAAGTAACAAACTATTTAACCTCGTCGTTTACTTAATGCTCAGCATTATATATATAAGAGATACCAATGCTGAACCGCTCGCAGCGTAGCGTCTTTCGAGCTAGCCGCTCTAGTAATTATGTTTGAACAAAGATAATACAATTTAGAAGGTTTCTCTGTTTATCTTCAATGTCATTTTATTGATTGTCAGGGTCTCATCCAAGAGCTGGCGATTGATTTTTATTATTTCTTCGGATTTAAGCAGATTAGGCTTGCAAATTCTTAGTGAAAAAAAATTTCATACTCATGTATGGTTTAACATTTTTATGGATTTCGATTGCATTTGATAATATCGAATTTCTTTTGCAATTTCAGCGTAAAATCCGGCAGGTCTAAATGATCGAACTTCCTTTCTTGATTTCGATGTTTCCGTTTATAACATTAAACTATTTCCAAGTCGCAGAAAGTGGTAAATAGTGTGATAAATATAATTGATCCTGTCGTAGTAAAGTTGTATTTTGATTTAAATTCATCGAAACTTGGTAGAAACATTTTTCATGGTGTATGCTTTAGAAGTTCCAGGAATTTTCCGAGTCCGTTCTCAATGAAATGTAATTGAATAGCAAAGCTAAATGCTATTTTCTAAGGTTTTTTCTCTTTCATTTAACTTCAACATTTGAAGCAGGAAAATTCGCCTTTTGAAATGAGGGGCAATAAAAATAAAGGTTCCAGCCTCGTGTTTTCTTTATTGATAACACTTATTCTCATATCAGATGACACTTTCTCAACACAAGAATACAATTGCCGGGCACAAGGATACTTTTACATTTACTAAAACTAATCAATGAATAACATCAAGTTGGTGCGATCATCAACCGAATCAGAAATGCATCATTCTCGTAGAACTACACTTATTCAGAGACAAATTCCGACACATATTTGTTTATAACCCGTGCAGCCTAGTGTCGCGTCCAGCCAAAATGCTTTATCTGTTTGGGGTCCCATTTGATCCGCATGAGGAAATGAGATATAAGGTTTCGGTACTGAAACACAAGCCATTTGAAAACTACCGGCAAAAGGCTGGATTGATAAATATGCATTTATAAAAGAAATAAATTTAAAGCGGATGAAACAAGAGTATTCGTGCATAGGATTCTACAGGTTTTCATTGCACTCGTGGAGTGGATACCATTCACAGCTTTTGTATGGAAGCCCTTGGACTGTTCTTCTTAATAGTTAAGTTTCTGATGGCATAGAAACGGCGCGTGTGTCTGATCTATATTAATAAAGAACATTCGTGACGGCGGTTACAACAGAAGCCGTGAGCTGTGAGTGCCATCCACTTGAAAGGCAAAAATAACCTCCTTGTTTTCCCAGCAATTGGACGTTGTTTAATTTTAGGCATCTACATTGAGCTCCAAAAAGAGCGAGCGGCTATAACATCTCAGCAGGAGAACTTACATTGATGGGAAAAGAGAGCATAGTTAAAAGAATAGTATGTTTGAAGTAGAGATAAGATTCAATAGGGAAGAATCACAGAGAAGTGAATTAGATTCAATGCAAAATAATCCAGCTTTGACTATAGCCTATTGATCTTGCGCTCACATCACCGTGTTGGAGCTCAAAGACGAAATCTACTGATCTTGAGAGCGACTGTAACAAAGACATATTACAGCGACAAGAGTCTCGGATATAACAAATAATCGCTATGGGACTTCCCGACGTAAACTTAAATCTAGTTGATGAGTCGTGCGGTGGTCGGTTACTCTAGCATCTGGCGGCTTAGGTTGAAAGGTCGGCTGACGGGCTGTTGATGGGAGAAAATAATTCCGATTAATTCATGTAGGAATAATAATTATTGGTTATTCCTATTATTTTCCATTTAAAAGCTGAAAGTTTATACTATGGATTAATTTCAGAGAATGCAGTCATAAATTTTAGCCAAAATTCTAATTAATTAAACTCATGATTTTGGACTCCATAATAAATCTTGGATAAACAGATTTATCACGATTATTCATGTCGACTTCAAATCCCTAATCACGCCTGTTTGTAATTTGTGCGATGTTGTGAACGTTGTTGTTAATAGGTAATTCGTGGGAATGTTGGTGCAAGGTGTATATTTGAATTAAATGAATGATTTAACCGAAGAGCAGTATGAATGTAAACGTCTTTGTTGAAGCAAAAGCATTCAGCTATTAGTATATTGTAATATAGTTTCGATGAAATTAAGTTTTTGTTTGAAAACATTGGTTCATATTTAAGTGTGGTGCCCGTTTTTTGGTCAATAAACATTTCAATAGAATTTATCAGTTTAAGCGTCTATAATTTTCACGCACAAAATAACAAGCTACAACACTAAGATGAACAGATTATAAACCTGAATGTTGAAGTATTTGCAGTTTAAAGTCAGGAAATAATTTAAAGTGTCGAAAGGAAATTCAAAATACTTACTTTTCTAAAGTTTGTAGACCAGCTTAAGACCTCTGCATTGAAGAACAGAAACGACAGAGAAAGATTAACACAAGTTACGAAAAGATTGAAGAGAGAATATTACTTGAACATGAAAGAGTATAAGGACTAGAGTGAGATATTCAAAATAGCTAAATGTTTTGACAATACTGAACGCAATAAGAATGGCTACAAGAAATGAAAATTTAATTAAGAGTTTTTGCTACACAGAGCTGCTCTAGAACAAAGGAAAAGTGAAACCAAGAAATTTATGATCAAAATTAAACTATTAAGAGTAAACTTAGCATCTAAAAATTGGAGCTAGCATACAGGAAGGAAAATACCGTGTTAGGAAATAAAGGAAAGTTAGTAATAAAGTATGCTGAGATATTTCTAAATATGTCTTGAAACTTTGAACACTATTATTTGTGTGTATTGAAAAATATCGTTTGCTCGAAATATTTGATATTGGAATATCGAAGAGATGTTTATAAGTTATCCAATTCGTGGATAGTGTTAGGGAATTCTCAAGTGAGTGATGTTGAGCGTATTCATTTACTGTGGAATTGCAGTAAAAATGGCAATGTAACTTTTATTTGTATGGATTTGGTGATATATAATGGATATGCTGGGCACCGGGATGGGTATACATACTTCAGGAAGGTACACCACCACCATTAAGCCCCGTAGAGAAACTAAAGGATAGATTATTGTTTGAATGAGAACCAAAAATTATCAAATTAAATTTTCATAAAAAAATGGAAATGGAAAATTAATATACTTTAAATTAATATCAAAGAAAGAAATGAAAAATTAAAACATGGAATCAAAAATTGATCATTTAAAGCTATGAATAAAGCTGTAATAATGGAATTTGTAAAGAATTGTTCAGCATTACAACTGTCATTATTTGACATATGTGAAGTATAATTTTCGATATTCATTACAAATTACTGCATTAGATATTTGAATTACAATTTTGTCTCATTCCAAGTACTAATTTATTAATTGATCGGGTCTTATTGGTGGTATCACCTGTGGGGACATGCGGGCCAAGCTCTGCGCTCGCCCCTTCACCTTGGCCTTGCTGGCGGACGTCTCGGCATGGTCGGCGCGCTCCTCAGCCTCTTCGAGCTCCTGCTGGGCCTTGCGGAACTTGGCCAAGTTGAGGGCGGCAATCTCCTCAGCCTCCTCGATCTGGCGCTTGTAAGTCTTGATCTTCTGCTGGAGCTTGTCGACGAGGTCCTGCATGCGCTCGTGGTTCTTCTTGTCCTCATCGGACTGGAAGGTGAGCTCCTTGATGCGGCGTTCGCACTTCCTCAGGTTCTTCTGGGCATCAGCGTGGCGGCGGGCTTCGTCGTCAAGAAGGCTTTCGAGTTCGCGGACGCGGCCTTCGAGCTTGGCAATCTGTTTCTTGCTGGCCTTCAGGGCGTTGCCTTCAGCCTCCTCAAGGCGGACCTGGAGCTCCTTAACCTGGACTTCAAGACCCTTGCGCATCTTCTCCTGGGCCTGGGCGTGCTCTTGTTCGGCGCGGAGCTCGTCAGCAAGGCGAGCGGCATCAACCATGGCCTTCTTGGCCTTCTCTTCGGAGTTCTTGGCTTCGTTGAGCATCTCATCAAGATCAGCCTGCGCAAAAGTGAGTGCGAAAAAGATTATTGCGGGGAAAAATGGAATATTAAGTGCATTATGTAACAAATTTAAAGGTATTCAATATAATTTTTTAAAAATGTTATGACCACAGGGAGATATTGCACGATCAACTTACGTGGAGGGTCTGGAGTTCTCCCTCGAGCTTCCTCTTGGCAAGACCCAAGGCATTGTTCTGGGCGGTGAGGTCATTGAGGTGCTCGTTGGCCTCGGCGAGCTCAGCCTCAGCCTGGCGACGGCCGCGGTCGGACTGTTCGAGGAGAGTGCGGGACTCTTCGAGCTCGCCGTGCAGGGCGTTGGCGCGGCGTTCGGCAATGCCGTACTGTTCGCGGTACTCGGAGGCGAGGCGCTGCTCCTCTTCAACACGGGCCTGCATGTCCTTGATCTCACCCTGAAGCTTCTTGATGTGCTTCTGGAGGTCGGCGTTGGCCTTGTTAGAGTGGTCAAGAGCGATCTCAAGCTCGTTGATGTCGGACTCAAGCTTCTTCTTCATGCGAAGAGCCTCAGCCTTGCCCTTAGCTTCAGCCTCAAGGGAAGCCTGCATGGAATCAATGGCGCGCTGGTGGCACTTGCTGGAAATGAAGAAGACAATATGTTGTTAATAGAGATCATGGACGCTATACATTCCAGTAAATGTAAATATTGCAGGGTTTTCATCGAATACTTTCCCGGATTGAATTCTAGGGTTAACTATTCACTCGTTTACATGTATATTTGTTTTTATTGATTTATAAAATATTATGTATGGATTATGGAAAATATAAATACTCACCGAGTGTTGTCGAACTCTTCTTCCTTCTCCTGGATGCGCCTGTCGATCTCCTGCCTGACTTGGCTGAGCTCAAGCTGTCCTCGGAGCACCTTGTTCTCCTCCTGCTCAAGAGCGGCCTCAGCCTCCTCAAGAGCTGCCTGCAGTTCTTCCTTCTCGATCTCGAGACGCTTGCGGTTCTTTTCGGTCTCGTGGAGGGATCGGCCACCCTCACCAATCTGGTCCATGAGGTCCTTGATCTCATCAGCGAGGTTCTTGTTCTCACGGCGCACAGAGTCGAGCTGCTCAAGGTTCTCTTCGTAGGCGGCCTTGACACGGAACAGTTCAGTGGAGTAGTTCCTGCATTCCTTCTGGGAGGCATCGAGTTCAGCGGCGAGGTCGTCAACCTTCATCTTCCATTCGGCAATGATCTTGTCGAAGTTCTTCTGCCTCTTCTCGGCGGCGTTGGCGAGGGTCTGGGCACGCTCGACTTCAATCTGCATGTCCTCGAGCTCAGCGCTGACGCGAGCCTTGGTCTTTTCGAGGTTCATGTTCTTGACGTTGAGCTGCTCGATCTGCTGCTCAGCCTCTTCGAGGCGAGCGGCGAGCTTCAGGCGGGCAGCTTCGAGCTCCTCGGCGCGAGCAACACCCTCAGACTCGTACTTGGCGCGCCACATCTGGGACTCGGCGTTAGCCTTGGACAGCTGGCGCTGAAGGTCGGCCTTAGCCTCGCCTTCCTCGTCGAGCTGCTCACGGAGACCATCGATGTCGTGCTCCAGGTTGCGGAATTTGCCGAGGATGGTAGCGCGTTCGCGGCTCTCATCGTCAGCGAGTTTCCTGGTGTCGTCAAGCTGGTTGGTGAGGGACAGCTTCAGCTTGGACAGCTGACCAACCTGGCTCTCGGCTTCCTCGAGCTGGCGGAGAAGGTCGGCGTTTTCAACGGCAAGCTTCTTCTTGGTGGCGTCGAAGTCGTTGAGGGTGCGGTTGGCTTCGTCAAGCTTGGCCTGAATCTCGTTGATGGTGTTCATGAGCTGCTTGTTCATCTTCTCAGCAGAGGCCTGTTGATTTTACCGTGCAGGATGCCCCAGACAAGAGGAAAAATCAACGATGATGAAAAATTTATTACAACGCACCTCCAATTATTCTATCTTGTAACCACTAAATATAGGTCATTTTTTCATATATATCTCAGGTATTGGGGTATTTTTACACGAATGCATTTCCAAAATGGGATATAACACAGCAATAGTAGGATTTGGAAAAGAGTTTGCCGGAACATAGGACAGGAGCTACGAAAAGAGGAATATCATGAGATTGAAGCATAAAATTCAGTAATCTGAATTTATTCTTCCATTACTAAGATCGGAGCTTCTGGCGTTGAAGTAGTACAACAATAATTTGTACGCAATGGCGCTAAGATACCAAAATTATTTAATATAAAATAAATATTCGAGCGATCGCAACTTTTGTTGAAGCTTCGACAACTTCGAAGTTCAAAAACATTGTCACGCAATGCAAAAATGCTAATTACAATCTATAAATCTCCTAAATTCAAAACAATTTCTATCGAGCACTGCTAAGTATTTCCGAAATTATAACCAGAATGGATTATATTGGTCACTATTTCGGGATAGTATTTCGGGTCCGCAATTATTATTGCGAATTAATTCATCCGCGTTAATTCGTGTATTCAAGAGAAATTTTACCTTATCATTGCTGAGCATATCGGCGGCGGACTTGGCATCGTTCAATTCCGAAGTTATTCCTTGCTTGTCGCGTTCAGCCCTGAGTGTTTTATTGTGGGTATTTCAATAATTTGACGATCATTGAGAAGAAACAGCTTCAGTTGAGTGAAATTGAATATGTATATAGTAAATTAAACGCTGAACGAAAAAAAGACGGCGATTGCTACAGAATTAGTTTGAACGAAAGCAAAATTTAAATATTATGAACTGAAGCGAAGTAATTTGAACAGAAATTGCTTGAAACGAACTGAATCTGTGATCGCATGTTTGTTAAGGAGAAACGGAACTTTCATAAAGCGAAATGAGAGTTTTTAATTGCGAAATTAAGTAAAAATGAGCGAACATAAACGCTGATAGTGACCGAGGTTTTATGCTTTCCTTCTAGAAAATAGCTTAACGCCAGGATAATTTTTTCCACGTTTTTTCTTTCATCTCGGAAAATGTAATTCTTGGAGACCACGGACAATTAGTATAGATTCTATTAATAAATACGGTGGAGGTGAGGATTAAATTAGAGGTTAGACGAGACAAAGGAAGCCCCATTTTCGGCAGCGGTAGGAAACATAAAATTGATACATTTGGTTCAGGTCGTACTAGTCAGGAGCTGGTAGGAAGTCGAAACATTTGTGGAAGGTTTTGATTATAAATGGAACGAGACTTCATTAGGTTTTAAAAAACCTCCAGGACTCGCTGTTAGGTTTTATTCTTATCGGGCTCATAATTGACACATTTTTTACTAATAATTGCGTAATTATTGACGTATTTTTTTACCTTGTCCCGAGCAAGACCGTCGGTGGCAGAACGGGCATCGTCAGAGTCGCGCTTGATGCTCTCCTTGTCCTTCTCAATCCTATGAGTTCAAATTAAACGAGTCCTTAGCGTAGATCCTTAATTTTCATTGTAATCTTTCCTTGTGTTACCCCGTGGAATTGTTAAGAAATAATTGTTCCAATTAAGGATAATTAGATCTCTAAATGAGAGTAACGTGGCCAAATCAATCAAACCCTTGAGATTTTTTTGCGGTAGTGTAATTAATTTTGGAAGCCTTGAAGTTTTTAGTCTGCAATTCGAATTTTCAAAATTGATTTTTAAGGAGTATTAAGAATTAAAATCCATGGCTGTGCAGATTCACGGTCTTATCAGAATTCTGGAAATTTGTAAACTCGATATTTTTGGGAGTTCGAGATACCGAGATAAATGGATTTATCTTGAAATTCTGATGTTAATCAAATAAAAGGATCTTGGAATTCAATCAATAATAAATTTAAGAAAATTATGTATAAATGTGAATTAAACAGAAGGCGCAATTGAATTATAAGGCCGTTAAAAATGACTCGTATTATAAATGACTCGGTAAAATGACTCGTATTAGTATTAGGCCCACTCAATAAAATATTATCCGAAGAAAACTAATAAAATATTGCGTTATATTGGAAGCTAAATAAATAAAGAAGCATAAAATATAGCAAAGGTAAGCATTGATTAAAATAATAAGCATGGACAAGAAAAATGTGAAGATTGATGATACTAAAAATTAACACTCCTATGATATATTTTGAATGGAATTGTATACTACACTGGTCGACTGAGAAGTACAAATATATAGTACAAATATTCAAAATGCCACAATCATATAATAAATTCACGTCAGTTTTATTTGTTCAGAAGCTGATTTATTGCAACCTGAATTCAAAAAATTGTTTTAATTACTGTCCTATTTTGAACTGCATAATTTGTTTCGCTTGGTTATCGCAGAAATAACTTGAACAAAAACTCATTTATAAATTACATACCAACCTACTTCGTAACTACGACCATTAATGCGTAAAGTAAGCCTGAATACTTTCATACCTATTACCATTAATAAAAGTAAAGCAAGCCTGAATACTTTTATAATAACGACCAATAATAAGTAAAGTAAGTCTGGAACTTTCATAACTAAGACCTTTTGTACGGAAATTAAGCCTGACGACCCACCTGGCCTTCATCTTGTTGAGATGGTCGATCTGCTCGGACATCTCAGCGACGGCATCGTTGTGCTTCTTGCGGAGAGAAGCGAGGGCGGCTTCGTGCTGGATGTTGGACTCCTCGAGGTCACGGCGGAGTTTTCCGAGCTCAGCCTCACGCTTCTTGTTGAGCTCAATCTGAGCAGAGGTGGCACCACCAGCCTCATCGAGGCGCTCGCTGAGCTCTTCGAGCTCCTTGGCGAAGTGGGACTTGCCCTTCTCGGCCTTGGCGCGAGCCTGGCGCTCGTGCTCGAGTTCCTCCTCAAGCTCCTCAACGCGGGCCTGGAGCTCCTTGATCTGCTTCTGGAGCTTGGACACAAGACCCTGCTCGTCCTCAAGCTTGGCAGCGAGGGAAGAGACTTCCTTGTCCTTGCGCTGGATGGTGCCCTCGAGCTCCTTCTTGTTGCGCTCGAGATCAGCGACAGCCTCCTGAGTAAGCTTGAGGTCACCCTCAACCTTCCTCTTGGACTTGTCGACCTCAGCGCGCAGCTTCTTCTCGCGCTCAAGAGAGTCCTCGAGCTCATCAAGAGTCTGCTCAAGCTTCACCTTCACCTTGTTGAGGTGGTTGCACTTGTCCTCAACGGCCTGGAGATCTTCAGCAGTCTTCTGGTTGCACTCCTGGAGGTGCTTCTTCTCCTTGTTGATCTTGTTGATGAGTTCATCCTGGTGGGCGATCTCATCGTTGAGGCTGCGGATCTGGTGGTCCTTGGTGGCCTTGTCCTGCTCAGATTTCTGGAGGCTCAGCTCCATGTCCTCAATATCCTTCTTGAAGGTGGCCATCTCCTGATCAGCCTTCTTCTTGCCCTGGAAGAGCTTGTTGCGGGCCTCTTCCTCACTCTGGAGCCTGTCGGTGAGCTCCTACAGGAGGGAAATTCCATTGCGATCACTTTCAATGCTGAGAAAACTTCAGGAATAAACTGATTACTTACACGACTAAAAAAAAAACGGATTTCGTACATCCCAATTTCACCGGCCGATAACGACTGAGAGAGTAACCAAGAATTATAAAAAGGTAAAATATTCACTAATATAAATTTTATTTGATCGTTTTCGTTGAGGAGCTGAAATCTTGATTTTAAGAACTCATAGGGCTTGTTTTCAATCATCGGTGAATAAAAACCAAGAGCCAGGTGAGAGGAAATACAATTTGAATATCATACCTCAATTGTAGCTTCTAAACTAGCAGAAGCCATTGTATCAATTCTCAGAATGAGGAGGAATGCGTTTCAAAAGCTTATAATCCTATTAAAAGTGAAGGCGTATCACTAGAGAGAACTAAGCACTAAGCACAGCCAGCGAGAACGGCCGCAAGGCCCGGTTGAGGCAGTTGAGTGTTGGTAAGCCTGAGCGAGACTGACGAGGGGAACTAGTTTGGCTGGCGGTACGGTAAGCCGCCGAACACCTGGGCACCTTACATCAACATGGGTGGGTAACGCCTGGCTTACTAAATTTAGCCACATACATTTGGATCAATACATAGTGCGTGCCAAATATGTCTAACGAGGAAGAGGCACTCGATGAAATGCGGCTGACACCTGTGATCGGGTCGGCAACTAAATATAACGCATTTGTGGCAGCTTCTAAATTTGACTAACATTAGGGTGCGCTTTTCATTATTGGGGAAAATATCTATCGGGAGGTAATAGCGTCAGCATTATTTTATAAGCACAGGAGAACCCCCACAAAATATATATAACGAATAAGAAGAGTTTAAATCTAAGCATATGTAATATATTGAATGTTCGATTAATCGGAATATAAACTATATTAAGATCGAACAATTAATGAAATAAACACCAATGATAAGCTTCAATTGGTGAATCAAAGCGTTATTTAAGATTAATTCTGCCGATAAATATCATCGAAATTCAACATTAAGAACCAAAAAAATATGTTTTTACATCAATCTAGTGAACACTTACATTGAGCTGGGCTTCGAGGTCGGCCTTCTGGGCAGCAAGCTTGGCCTGCTTGTCCATGAACTCGGAGGCGCTACCCTTGGTGGACTCGAGAACCAGTAAGAGGTCGTTCTTCTCCTGGAGAAGAGTAACATTCTGGCCTTCAAGCTTCTTACGGAGCTCGCTCTCCTTCTCGAGCTCAGCAAGAGCCTTCTCAGCCTTCTCCTCGAGGGCGCGAATCTCATCCTCGACGCGGGTGACGTTGAGGAGAGGCTTGACCTTCTGCCAGAGGCGATACCAGGGCCAGGTGCGGAGCTGGAGGTATTTCCTCAGGTTACGCTGGACCACAATCAAGGCAACACGTTGTTCCTGGAGCTTCTTGTAGTTCTTGCGGGAGATGTAGCCACGGATCCAGGCCTGCAGCCATGAGATGATCTTGGCCAGACGGTCGTCACGGATTTCCTCGAGCTGACCAAGGACACCGGCGCGGAAGAATACCTACGCGGTCGACCAGATAGGGGTACAAGTTAAAGTGAGAAATTGAGGTGACAGAAACGCGGGCGCTAAAGATGATCCAAAGATTTGTGATGGAAGAGTCGGACTGACAGTCTTTGGAACTCTGAGGCCGTTGAAAGATGTAACTAACTACATTGTCAGAGGGACTTTTTACTAAATTTCAACTTCATATTACTATAAATTTAGAGTTAAATTATCTCTTCCCTTCATTGAAGCAGAAAAAAGTCCAGACAGTCAGATTTATTTAATGATTGAATGCTAATTGAACTTGATGAGCAAATCGGGAGATGAATTGAAACAAAATGTATCTCATCTACGAATATATTAATGGTAAAGCTTACCTCTTCTTTGACGATGAGAAGACTTAACAAAAGCGGGCAGGAGATACGTGAATTAGTGGAAATATTATAGCTTTATTCAAGTTATAATTCCTTTTATTTTTTATTTGCGGTTTGTTTTGTTCAGTTAGTTGGAGCAATAAATTATTTAGGGTAGAATTAGTATGAAAATACCTTGGTAACTCCAAATCTGTACTTAGACGCGTCAAGTTTTACTGTATCGAGGATCATTTCGGTAGCTGCTTTCGGTTCTACAGGCTCCTTTCTCTCCATGTGGAGCAGAGAAGTGCTCAGTAGGGCGTATCTGAGAGGCGAAACTCTCTAATATATAAAACGGACAATAACTCTCTGAACCACTGAAATTTTAAATAAAAACACAAACTTTTCTAAATAAAACAAGTGTGATTCAACACGCAGAGGTAGGGTAAATATTCTAAAGGATAAAATAGGTTTTCTAAACAATTCAAACGCATTGGGTGACAGGAACACTAACGGGTAAACGGGGATGCTACTGAGTTGCTGGGAACATAAAGAGGAAGGTATAGGATGAAGGATTTGCAACTGGTCCTGGAATTGTTGCAATCGCCGAAGAGAAGGATCAGGATCTGAAGAAGGATGCCGTTAATGGTGCAAACGGACTCTTTCACGTACGGTACAGTAAGTTAACTAAACAATCACTAGGCACCTCGAAAACTCTGCCGAAATAAAGAAAATAAATATAGAAAATAATTCAAGATTCAAATAAAACAAGATCTTGAACGGGCAACTGAATAAAATGTTTCGATAAAATAATATTTGTGTTAAATAAATAACGAATAGGCAAGTGCCGTCACATGCCTTCGTATGGCCCATTCTGTACTTTTCAGGCTCCAAAGAAATTTTGTCTAGGATGAGTTCGGTGGCCTTTTTCTCGCTCTCAGCAGAGTTAGCTATCTGGGTGGAAAGGATGGAGTATCTGTGGGGGCAAAGAACCACCGGACGAAAGGTCATTTTCCGTTTTGCACTGAAATTGTGGATAGAAATACAAAAGACAATTCTAGCTAATTACACAGAAAAACGGGGCATGCATTTCCGGTCTTGGCTCAAGATTTTCTAACGGACGAGAGCATGAATCCGGTGAGTTGCTTTTCTTCTGTTGAGAGTGGGACTCAGCTGGGGAACATTTCACTCAATGGGGGAACTCATCACTCATTTGGGAAACACTTGGGGAACAGCCCCGCTAATGCTAGTTTGCCATGACACCGATTCTAGGAAACAGTTGTTGATATTCGGTTGATTGTTACGAAGTCGGTCTTGATACGTGATTTATGATCAAAAACCGTTTCTGTGAATCGGTGACAAAAGCTTTTCTGAAGTCAGAGTTCAGATTGACAGAAGAGGGAACAATCGCGTGGTACATGCAGAATCTCATTGCTAAGGGTAGGGTTTAAGAGCAATCACAAAAATCTGTCTTTAAAACCCGCAGAATTCTAATGACTGCAATGAAAAATCGATTCAATAGCATTCTCAGGCACGAAGGACTATAGGGAAAGGTTTCTAGATTGACTAATATTGCTACTGGTGATATAAAAGAAAGCGGGAATTCGAGATACATGCCTTCGTGTGGCCAATTTTGTACTTTTCTGATCCTAGTTCAATTTTCTCAAGAATGACTTCTGCCGCTTTCTTCTCAGTCTCGGTCGCAGCAGCTTCTTTGGATGCTAGAATGCAGTATCTGCATCGAGCCGTCATATTAAACATTTATTTAATTTGGGAACTTGGGAAGCTAAATACTTCAAATAGGGACATAATTTTTCTCGAAATCATTGGGAGCATATTGCGTAAACAAACTTGGTACTACTAGGAGTGCAAAGTTTACCGTGCGCATGAAATTTTTAGGGTAAAGACACATTCCAAAGAACGATGAGAACGTGGACTTATTTGCGGACATTTTCTGTTCTGCAAGAAAATTGGGGCCCGAACAAAATACCCAGGGAAACAATTTTTGGGAAGGAGGGCTTCGAAGTTAGAAAGGAGAACGCTTTCATATACTACAATAGTTCAAGCATATAATTTAAATTCAAGTGGAGTGCTAAGAGGGAGGGAGGGAGTAAGAGAGATGGGGAGGGGCAATCATTGGAGTGCAGCCAACATACCTTTTGGGGGGTGCAGTCAGAGGGGTTGAACAGATCATGGGTCCTTAGCGTAATAAATTACATATGTATGCAAAATAAATATATATAGAGAGAAATAATCAGGAAAGGGAAAATTAATTAAAACTATAATTCAGTGTGCAATGCGACACATGCATGAAAACACTTTGAAATGGGATTTACTGAATCAAGAAACAACAAAATAAGACATAAATAAGGGAATGTAAAACAACAAATTAGTAGCAATCAAGCGAGCGAATATAGAAAGTATAAGAAATATTATGAAGAGGGTGCCTCGTGGCATGTCTTGAATTGAAAACATGCAAGAGCAGTTTTCAGTATCCTGCTTTCAGCAACGAAATTTCGTAAAAGACGATTAAATTCATACACTGGCAAAATCATTGTGCATGAATTCCATTATTCACAGGCAGCCAAATCATGACATCAGGGGAACATTAAACAGTATTCCTAAAAAGTTGTACTGTCATGTCTTTGGTATTGTTCTACAATTTGTTTCAGTAGGCATGGATAATTTCTGAATAGGTTCAGGTAAAAATGCGGGGCAGATCAAGTGCCCTTCCAAACTGGGCTTGAAGGGGTGGGTGGGATAACAAGGGACTGATGTCACCGAGAGATTCTTTCATAGTTCTTTCCTGAAAGTCCTTCAAAGGAAATCGGGGCAGGAGATCCAGAGGGACGTTTTGGTTTTCATGATACAGAACAACTACTAACATAACAGGTTTATAGAAACCCTGTTTTCAACAAAACATCAAGTCTCGGGCAACTGGAGGGTGTTTGAGTTTACGGAATTTTCACAAGATTCAACTGCAAACGGGTTGAGTACATACGTAGATAAGTTTTCAAGTATACTGAAGGGAATATAAGTGTTCTTTGGGGGATAATTCGTAGGGATAAGTGCACGCGGGTCGAAAATTTGTAACGAATATTATACCTTGGTGTTACCAGTACGGAATTTGTCACTCTCGAGACCGACAGACTCGAGGACTTGGGCAGCGGCCTTCTTGTCGTCAGAGACTTCAGCCAAGATCTTGGCTCCGAGGATTTTGTAGCTATTTTAGGTAAGTGGAGCGGCGGTGTATATATATTGTTTAGGTAAGTGGGGTGGCGGTGTATATATATTATTTAGGTAAGTGGAGCGGCGGTGTATATATATTATTTAGGTAAGTGGAGCGGCGGTGTATATATACGGGCCAATCGCGACAGAAATGTGAAACGCAGGGGTTCCGAAGTGATTGGTTTCAGAGCAACATTCTCAAAGTGGTATGTTGTGCAAGGCAGATCAAATATTTGGAAACAGTGTAGCGCCGTAGTATAGTTTAAATTTTGATATAAATCGCATGAAAATTAATCAAACATTGTTTAGTTAGCAATAATTTGTATATAAAAAATACAGTAATGGTTGCAGTATAAAAGTCGACAAACCGATGTTCGAAGGCATATTTGAGTTGCAATGCAAGTAATAAGTGTGAATATTGTGTAATATTTTTTGGTGTAGATGAGCATTGAGAAAGCGAAGCGTTGCAGACGTTAAAGTTGAAGAAGCAGTGAAGACATCGCGCCGAGAAGCAGACAATAAAATAACCAAGTTAGAAATAAATTATAATAAACTAATAAAGAAACCTGAAGTTCCTGTCACGAGAGAACATCGATGAAAATAAGTGTCTAACTATGATGAAGTAGTGGTCTAAAATTTGAACTAAGATGAGAATGAGAGTGTTAGGGCACCCTTGCAGGAATTTTGTTTGATGCCAAACTTATTGACAAAACAAAGGGCTAAGCTTAATAGGAATGGAGAGAAATGGAAGTGTTATTTTAGTTTTTGGGATGGGATGTGGGCATGGCTATGAGAACGGATTGATAGACCAAAGTGAGGCGAGTGCAAAACTAAACGAGTTATTTAGAGCGCAATCATGTATACAACTTAAAAGAGCGTGTTGAAATCGTATGAATCAGTAAGGCTTATATGGCCAACCGAATCTACTTTCGAAGACTGTACGAATGAAGCATTATATACTGTAAAATAACCAAGCTAAAAGGCATCAGAAAATTTAAGTACTCCGACCAGTATCACGCCGGATACGAAAAGACGAACGAAATAAAACGGTATGATAGTAAAATGCAATGCGAATACGGCGTAAGTTAGAAATTGAACTTATACGAGAAGTAACTAGCATGTGAGCTATTAACGCGTCTTATCAATGTTACATAGAAATCGGAAATAAATATAAAATAGCCGTAAGTTAAAAGCTGCAAGTTATTCGAGTAGAATGAAAATACAAAAGAAACAATCAAGTTGGAAAACGATAATATTATAATAGGAGAAAAGTTCATTAAAAATCGAAAATATACCGGAAATTAGATGAAAATGAGCATAAGAAGCCTTATACGAATATAGATCGCTCTCGGTCCGATTAAAATGAAAAGATATTAATGGACGATCTCGCTGCAACATGCCTTGGTGTTGCCAAGTCGGAAGCTTTCAGGGGGCAAGGCGATATGAGTGAGGCAAACGTCGGCCGCCTTTTTGGGATCTTCTTGCGCTTGCATCAATAGAGGGGCAAGGATCATGTAGCTGCAGTGTCGGGGAAACACGAAAACATCCTTGAAATGTTGAAAATGCAAGAAAATCGAATATTGGCTCAAAATGACGCAGTAACTGAAGACATTACGCAGATTTCAATAATGATTTCGGTGAGATACAAATGTATTTTCGTTTATGTATCTTTCGAGGGTGTAGAATAAAATATTTTTGCGGGTATGAAATTTGAAAAGAATGAACTCTAATGCTTGAAAATTTATTCTCGCTTTTGATAAGGTGATAAACTGGGAGGAAAAGGAAATATCATGGAGGGAAAATCTCGCTGTATTGTTCATGCAGTCTACTCACTATTAAGCAAGAATGCCGACTAATTCAGCCAATGTCATGCACAAGGAGGCAAAATTTGTTCCTCCTCATGTCGGCGTAAAAACTTTCTATGCAATAGTATGGAATAGCGCTGAATTGCCAAAAATGTCTCAAGCGATTCCACTCGGAGACTGCAGATGCTGCTGGGTTTAATATGAGGATGCAAACACTAATGCAACAGCCTTTGTCTGAAGTTTAGCTGGTCTCGAGATCTATAATGTATTAATTTAAATTCAGATCACTCTGTCTAAGCACCTTGGTGTTACCAAGACGGTAGCTCTCAGTGGGCAATTGAATAGCTTCAAGACAGACACCAGCTGCTTTCTTCTCAGTATCCTGCTCTTCCATAGCTTTCGTGGCCAGAATTTTGTAGCTAAAAAGGAAGGGAAATATTGCAAAGACTGGCCATTTCAACTGTTTAAGTCCCGGAACGACCGCTTGCAATATTTGCATGCATTGGTTGGAGTTTTTTAGCATTGAAAGTCTCATGGCCAAATTTGATGATGTTGATTTCACTGAACAGTGTAAGAGTTATGCATTTCACGTGACAGTTTTCATGACAGTGACGGAAAAAGGTATATTTTAGAAATGTAATTAAAATATTCGGTAATAATGCGCATTGTAACTGCACTGTGGGGGCGAAACATGCTTATAGAAATACATTTTAGCCTGAAATGTTGAGAAACGTTGGGAAGGGAGACAATCATAAATCGGGAACTCATTGGGAAGACAGTAATACGGGAGGGAAATCCATGAGGGGTCACGTTCAAAAACAATGTGGAATTCAAAATATAAATTCATTGAGGAAAAACTTGGAAAAATTGGAGGGACGACCGCTGGGGTACGATTGGGGATTCACGGTAACGAATGGGGAATAAATAAAGAGGTTTCGGAAGGGTGCTATGAGTTTCTGATACAACGTTGATAATATTGATAATAATGAATACATGAACAAAGTTGATAAACTTTGGATCACATAATTGAAAGTATTTGCAATATATTCCTAATACTGGATGAAAAATTAGAATTTGATTGCAGTTATTTGATTGCCAACAAAAATGTATATAATAAATTTATTCAAATAGGTAGCACTTATCATTCAACGACAAACTCCCATCAGGGTTAGCTAATCTATATTACGATCATTAAAGCTTGATAATCTTGTGGCGATATAATTGGTTCTAAATATTTTAGTTCAATATTACACTAATTTGTCACTGACAATTTATGTAGTGATTAAAAATTATTGAATTTAAATAAATAATGGAATTATTAAATTGAATATTAAAATTCAAATTTGTTGAATTGCATGTTGTAATTAAAATTATTTAATTTAATATTGAAATTAAATTATAGAACAGAATGTTGATATTAAAGTTACTGAATTGATAATTGAAATTCAAATTTATTGAATTGAATACTGAAATTCAAATGATTGAACTGAAAGTTAAAATTCAAATTACTGAATTGATTATTGAAATTCAAATTTATTAAATTGAATATTGAAATTCAAATTACTGAACTGAATTATAAAATTTAATTTATTGAATTGACTATTGAAATTCAAATTATTAAATTGATTATCGAAGTTTAAATTTATTGAATTAAATATTGAAATTAAAATTTATTGAATTCAATATTGAAGTTCAAATTATTAAATTGAATATTGAAGTTTAAATTTATTGAATTGAATATTGGAATTATTGCGCTTCTGACGTACCGGTGCTTGAAGTCGGGGTAGAGCATGCGGTTGGGGAAGCCCTTGCGACAGATGCGGATGCCCTCAAGCACACCGTTACAGGTGAGCTGATGCATGACGAGAGCCGCATCAATGACACCTGAGGGTAGTGGTGACCAGGGGCGGGGTTAGACATAACTAAACAAAGGTTAAAAAATATAACTCAGTACTCACTGCAGTGAGTGACAGAGAGCGCATTTTCTCGTCGACGAAAACTTGAGGTCACGGACAGACGGACAGACAGACGGACATGGGGAGCACAATAGTGCATTTTTTCCATAAATGAGAATGCGCTAATAAGGTTACTAAAGTTACTATATAGAAAGGTTACGATATAAACAAAGGTTACTATATAAACAAAGAAGGGAACGCAACTGCGGATTGCATACCTAATACTACAAAATAATTGTAGAAAATTATTCAAGAATTATCTGTTAAGGAGTACGAAAATATTTTGACTCTACTCGTTGGCTACGGGACAAGAGATAATTGAGTAATGCGTACTAAGCGAATTCATTTGCTCCGAAAATTGTGTGATCATGGAAAACATTTCTAGTTCTAATTTCGTAAACTGCAATAAAAATATACCCATCAATAGATATTCGCAAAGAAAATATATAATAATTTATATTCAAGCACAAAGTTTACATTAAAATTTTCCGTCAGATTAACTAATGACAAACCCACCTTAAAATTGGATGGAACCTAAACATTTACTGCCAAAGAAATCATCATTTCTGAAAAATTTTAATCCAATTTGAACTTTATTATTATTTTGATCTGCGACGAAAAATCAGATGTTCAAGAAAACCTTACCAGCCGCCTTCTCTTCGTTAGGGATGATGCATCGTACAAAGTGAGGTGCGGTAGACCTGAGTACTGTCATCAGGTTGTTAAGCTGTTCCTGAGGAACAAACACACACCATCGAGGTTAATACAAAACTAGGAAGGAATTCCACCGACGGGGAAGGTAAGGCGAGTTTTCACTACATAGGAATTTCTATGGAAAATTTAAGGAAATTCAACGGGAGCCGGACACATTTTCCTCAAATGGTGGCTGGAAAGAAACGAGGCACAGGAAATTTCAATGAAAGCCTGTGCGGGATGCAATTCATAAATCAACGCTGCATTGGAGAGAAGGTATAAGGGTAGAATCGTCACCGTTGTATTGGCGCTTAACATTTTGGAATGTAAAAATCGGGTAGGTAGTAAGGACGACATGGAAGGGTAATAAAGTTAGTTCTATCTAGAATCCCAAAACTATTTGGAGATATTCCAGGTGCTCAAAACCTCTAATTTCAAAGCTGCACCGGTTTTCTACGATAGTAATTACATAACGGAGTGGAGCCTTTGATCGTGATTTAAAGATAAAGCTGAAAAAACTTCACATCCGCCGATCTCGTTCGACGAGTGAAACGGAACAAGAAGATTTCCGTGTCTAAAAACGTACAGAAAACCAGGAATAAGTTAAAAGATCAACAGATTAATCGCAAGGTATAGGAAATATTGAGAACTCGTGATCTAACGAGGGTCGAGCTGTGATTCTGATCACCTTTCAGGGATAAAATTTCAGGTTTTTTATGGTAGGGGCGATGAAACAGGCAAGGTAAATTGCCTTACCAGGCGACTTGGTCTCATTGGGGATAATACAACGGATGAAGTGAGGGGAGGTGCTCATCAAGACAGCCATCAAGTTGTTCAGTTGCTCCTGAGGGCACCGTAATTATTCATTAATTACTGTATTGATTGTCTTTTGTGGGCCAAAGTCATCCATATGGATTGGGGGAGGGGTGTCGAAATCGCGCGATCAATGGGAATGGGGGAAAAAGTGGAAACTGGGGGAGGGCATACACACATTATAGGGAAGTATACAGGGTTTGTCAACAATGTAAACAAGCATGGAGGGGATATAAATAAAGGAAGTTGTGCCTCGCACAATTCTTGGACACCGCCATCACCAGGTGCATCAAGTTCGGAAATAAAGAGGGAACGAGGGAAAGTAAAACTGTGTGGAATGGGTTATCATTATTAAAAAATTAACGTAAATATTCCATTTGGCTAAATGGAATAACATTCCATTCCATTTGGCTAAATGGAGTAACTAATAACGAATGTCAGTTGATGTAAAGAATTATTGACACTATCAACTCCAATGGGTAAATGTTTTCTGAATGAAACAGGTTTTCCAGTGATAAGATTTTTGACAATAAAATATTTATTTTCCAGATTTATTTTCGGTGTAACAAACTGCACGATAAACGAGGCATAAATATAGGCATTCCTCCCTAATATCACTTAGGGAGAGTTGACATTTAAAAATTTCAGAAATAAATCAATAGGGACCAATAAAGGGGAGAGGGGGGACGGCATGCGAGGGTAACATCGTACCTGCGGGCCACGGCGGCCGCTGCATGGAGTTCTCACATATTGGGCAGCTAATTTCTTATATATTATAATATATGTATATATATTATATATTATAGTATATATTATATAACAAATACATATTTATAAGAGATAATTGGGAGATAAGGGAGATCATTTCGTACCAGGAGACTTGGTCTCGTTGGGGACAATACAACGGATGAAGTGGGGGCTGGTCGAGTGCAGGGTCTTCATGAGGTTGTCACATATTGGGCAGCTAATTTCTTATATATTATACCAAAGAAAAATGTGCCCAGATTTGCGATGTGTTATATATAAAAGTGGATCACGTGACGGGCGAGAAAAATTTGAGTAAAAAAAATATTTATTTATAATATATTAATTTGAATATAAAAGAGTCATGAAAACAAAAGTTTCATCACAGAAATGAATGTGGGTTCGGAAAAACGTGGTATTGGAATTTTGATCCAAGTAAGAAGAATTCAATACGAGAAAAATATTAGCATTGAGCATGCGAGTTCATGATTTGAATGAGATTGTTTTAGTGTCCATAATATGTGTATGAAATAATAACATCAAAATGTGTGTTGATGTGATGCAAATATCCAGCGTGCCATCACAGTGATGTGATGGATGCATGGGACATAGGGGAGGGGAGGGTAAGAAGGGGGGAATAAAGTAGCGACTTAGAATTTATCATCTCAAAAATTGTAGAAGAAAAACAACATAAACGGAAATGCATTCAATATATCAGTCTTAAAAATGTGTATAGCATAAGACACAGTTTTTCATATACATAATATCGCAAATATTCATGGTATAAATAATGTTTTAAAATCTAGACACACAGTATTAGGTGAAATAACACACAAGCAAAGCTCCTTAAATAACGTTAACATGCCAGTTAGTATAATTAAACACTGTACAACATACAATGTATGACATTACAGTTGCAGGAACCTACCAGACCGACGTAACAATACATAAATATTTATCATAATTCAACAATACAGGGTACAGCGATAAATTTAATACAGAAACTCGTAGGTTTAAAAGAGTGATCTGAAAGTTTAGAAAAAACTCGTAGCATCTCGTGAAAAATTTCGTAAAAAGTACAATTTACAAATGCAATTTTTCCGATTACAGGGAAGTACAACTTGAGTGTAATACAACATGGGGGTAGTATAACTTGCAGGTAATAAAACTTGAAGGTAATTCAACTTGAGAGTAATGCCAGTTGAGGGTAATGTTTCCTAAAATTGCCGGTATCATTTAGGGGAAAAAATTCCCCTAAATAACGGTTGAGGCGAAAAATTTATATCAATTCCCGAGCTCCTTTGCGGGGATGATTACACATTTCTTTAAGAATATAGTTTAGGTATTTTGATCGAGCTGAGTTCTTAACAATTGGGGATTTATTTAAAAGAAAACGATATAAAGAGGGCACAGTTATCCGTCTACGTTTAAGAGATATGAAAGGTCATGGTTTAAATCCGGTAATATTGGGGGCAGGGGAAATAGAAAGGAATACCAATGGTATGCCAATGGGGGAAATAGAAAGGAATACCCTCTAATACTGGGGGCTTGGGGAACACATCGAGAAGTATCGGGTGCCAAAATACTTTCGGGTGGAATCGGAAAAGTATTTTTGTGCAAGTTATTTTCAACGATCGGGAGAGGGCATAACAAGGGATGGATTGATTTTATACCCTGTATCCCGAAGAGACAGTGGAGAAACCACCAGACTTCTTGCCACGGCCTATGAGGAGAAAAATATCATCAATGATCTTTAAAGTAAGAAGTTTGGGACCGAACAAACCGCCCGACTGCGCATACAGAAAATAATTGGAACGAAAGCTTTTTACTCGGATATATATTTCTAGTGATAATATTTTCATCTGGCAGATTTTTATTCTTTATGTGAATTTCAGGTTAATCGATATGAGTTTGCAGAAACTTTCTCGGTGAAAAGTGTATTTAAATAATGGATGGAGATAAGGTAAAAATCGCAATCGTTTCCAAAGATTTTCTGAAACAGCCAGGGAGTCCCACTACCGAGATGCAGCTTGAGAACGTATTATCGAATGTAGCTGCTTCCATCGCCGCTGAAACAGAAATTCAAATGAAAGGCACGCTCACTTTGCCGTTAAATGGTTAGCAAAGCAATGAACATTTTGATTCTCCCGCTTCGAGTTACGCCGTAATATGAGCTGCGTACAGAACCAGCAACGAGTTCACATAACGGCGCGAAAAGAACAATCAAAGAACCAAAATGTACATCTTTATTTTCTTTCTCTATCTATGACAAGTCATGATTCAGATTAGCTCGTTAATTAATATCTTAACTTTTCTAAACCTCAAAGTCTGCTTCTCTATGAACATGACTTGTCAGAACTCTGAGTCTCAATGAATGCATCCAAGTTTTAATACATAAAATTTTGGAAGTTAAATTTTCTGAAGACACAAGTTGATTTGAATTGGAGTAAACTTCATCCATATTTTATATAGATGATTTATTTTTTATATTCTTATTGAGACCGAGAGTAAACACTTCTCACAACAATTTAGTGAGCGCGTTATGGAAGCGAAAGATGCACTGTGAATTAGCAGATAATTACCCTGTACATGCCGGACACGGTCTGGAAAGCAGAACCCTTGGCACGTTTGCCACCTGTAAGAGGGAACACAAACATACTCCAGCTTTAGCTTGGTTCTTAATACATACAAAAACAGGAGCGTCATCGTTCATTGCCTCAGTATCAGTTATTGCAGGCGAGGTAACGTCAATGGTGTTAACACAAAACGCAGGTGAACTTTGAAGCAAAACTCGTTAATCCCACACATCTCAGCACATCATTGTTACAGAAAAGCTAAACAAGTGAGAACTTTCACAGTAAACTGCAATGTAAATTGGGCAATTTTTTGAGTAATCTGCGTAGCATGACCTCCGCCAAAAGCGAGTTGGAGTCATTTGTAAATGGTTGAAAAAGCTAGAAATACCAGAAGATAGAATTCAGTCAAACTCAAATTCGTCTGCTAATCGATGCAAGCAAATTAAGTTAATTGAGCGGCAGTGTAGATCAACTTAACATATTGTTAAGTCGAGTAGATTAGCTTGGCTATTTTAAAAGCAATGAGTTTGGTTAGAAATCACACAGCTTTTTAATTTATGATAAAAAACGAGCGGCAACGGTCAATAGTTACCCTGTATAGTAGAGATACGGTCTGAAAACCAGACCCTTTGGCTCTTTTGCCGCCTGGGTTGCGTGCCAAGGTTGAAGGGGATTCAGAAATGAAAGGAGAAGGAAAGGAAAAAAGGGAATAATTACTACGGGTAGAATGGTAACGCTATTATTATCCTTTATCAATGCAATTGTTCACCGCCCATGTTGGTGGGTTTCGGTAACTTTTCTAGCGGGAAACAAGCGTTCGGTAGTTTTAGAATCGAACGTGGTAGGGGAAAATTGTGGTAATATAACAGGGTGAACTCGACTTGATCATTGATCGAGTTTTAATCATGATAGAGACTTGCTAAACTCGGTTTGACTAGTAGGGAGAACACACAAGTTCGATGGTTCTGAGATCGAACTGGGCAGAAGTTGTTAGTGGGAGTCGAAGGCATCACTCAATTTGAACGTGTCGGGGTCATCAGTCCTTTGTAAACTACACAAGGGATAAACTATGTTTTTAAGTTCAAGACACAATTTGATAATTTGAGGTCATGAAACAAGAAATGCATTGAAAAATTCCTATGTCTCTTTAAGAATTAAAATTAATCAATTTAATATAAGTATAACAATCGAAAACTGAACGGAAATGATCCGTTCATTTTAATATCATACCTGCTGCTTAATTTCCAAGTTGGGTATTAAGTGGATTAATGTCGACTTAAAATATCAAAATTTATAATTCACCTGAACATTATCACTGACTAGTAGGATGGAGATCTACCAATAATAGGAAAATAGCTGGAAGCAATATTTTCTGGGGTGAAAGGTACTTCTGGTAGATATCTATTGTAAAGTATGTTAATTATACGGATGAAATGAAGCCCATATTTGTCATTTTTGCTACACTTTAGTATGATATTAATTGTATTTCCATTGTAGTGTCAAGTGGTAACGATGTGGTAGTTTTGCCCAGCCAGGAGAAGACACTCTGTGGGAAGAAGAAAAATTCTTAATATTTAAACTATATTTTATCTAATATCTTGAAGAAAATTTAATGGACAAAAAAAAAAACATAATCTCATTCTCAAAAACCGCAAAGAAAATAAATGTTGATGACAGCAGAAGTAAAACTTCATAGTATGAGCTATAATGAAATATTATACGAAGCTTTGCTCATAATGTGATCAATGATTGTTGTTCCATGGAGCGTTATAAGTATTTTATTCTACTTTCTGAATCTGCATTGCATTCAAATGACAATTTTCACACTGACCTAAGGAATGATTTAGAAATGAGTTAATGATTCGGTAGCGTAACCTTTTTTTACAGCACTAACCATCTTTTGATTCTACTTTAAAAGCATATTTCTCGCACATGTTCCCTATTAACTTACCACCCTTGCCACCAGCATCACCGCCACCAGACTGGCCGGGGTGGTCAGCGAAGATGGTCTGGATGAGTTCGCTGGTACCCTTCTTGAACTGGTCGACGACCGTGTCGTTCAGGGGATCCTTGTTCTTCTCGAGCCATCCAGTAAGGTTGTAGGGGACGGTACCTGAAGGATACGGAACTTGTCACAACAGATACATGCAGGTAGCGATGAAATAAAATGTCTTCTTATACATATTTCTACAATTTACCAAATGTGTAGTGTAGAAACCTGTGGGGAGTGAGAATGTGGTAAGGGTACATAGCCTGAAGGACGGCACGCAACTTGTCAAAAGTAACAGATGCAAGTAGCTATGAAATAGAATTTCTTCTCGTTCGTTTTTCAATTTCGTAGAGCCTTTGAGTGAAGTGCATAAAAAGTTTACCCGTTCATATCCTATCGAAGTTTTTTTTTATTTTTTTGCTCGCTATATATATATATACCAAACTAATGATTAACGTGCCCTCGAAGTTCGGTTAAACCAAACGTAACGACAATCGTTTCGTAGAATAGTAATAAAAGTCAATGTAATAATGAATACATTCGTAAATTGAAATTACTCCACTAGGAAGTATTGGTACATTGAAAAAAGAAATGACCGTGTTCAAAGAATTAACACAAAATGTTATTCTCATTTGTTGTCCCAATAATACTCCATTTGATTGATACTTAAAGAGGAAAGGAAATCAGATGTATAATTGTCAAAAATAATGCTAATTTTAAATACCTCTCCAGGTTAAATGGAGAGTTTGTGTCCTACCATGGCCTATATTATGTATTAGAAGTATATTGACAATATTTAAAGTGTATCTCACCGGCGTAATGCACAATGGCGAAGTGAGCCTCAGCTTGGCCGGGCTTGGGGGGCTTGGGCTTGATGAAGTTGGGGGACTTGCCGAGATGGTTAGCGTTCAACTTCTCAGTGAAGGACTTGTCAGTGGCCTTGGGGAACATAGACTCTTCCTCCAGGATGGAGAGAAGACCCAGGGGCTGAGGAAATATACAAGTAGAATCTTGACAACTCATCAAATATTAACAGCGTTCATAATCTATATGACTCAAGAAGTAGGAGACAATATTGTGAACAATATAATTTCATATAATTCATGTAGATCATTTAAAACGAGAATTATTCCTGTCTTATAATATAGGAACTCACCGTGTATTCTAAAGACATTCATTACAGTACACTAGATGCAACACTTCCCGACTAAAACAACTTTGAAAAGCAGCATTTTGACGAGCGTTGATGGTTAATTAGCGAGGAGACAATATCAGGAGTAAAGTAGGAAGGGAAAGGCATGGGTGTCAAAACAACAGAGTTAAGCTCAGTAAAGTGGCTAAAAAATGTGTAGATACTCCATTTAAGCAAATTTATTAGTGAGAAATAAAATTTGAGCAACAAGATTTATTTTTGTACGGCGGAACGATGCGAAAAGCCGTTGTTGGCGTTAAGTTTTAAAAGCTACCTTCTCGATCAACTCTATGCAGGCTTGGAGATCCAAACCAAAATCGATAAAGGTCCATTCAATTCCTTCTCTTTTGTACTCCTCTTGTTCAAGTACAAACATGTGGTGGTTGAAGAATTGCTGCAACTTCTCATTGGTGAAATTGATACACAGCTGTTCGAAACTGTTGAACTGAATCGAGAGAAGAAAAGCCCACATGAGTTTGTGGCTGCGATCAAGATAAAAGTGAACTTCATAGGCGAGAGATATACGAACATAGGTCGGGGAAAGTTCTTTGTCTTAGCAAGAACTTTAAATGGGAAAGACACGCAGACATAGACACACGAAACGAGCGCACCGTTTCCCAATGACGGTTACTCAAAGGTCAGGGACTTTTAAAGATCCTGTGGAGAAGGAAGGACTTATGTGCTCAGTCTGCTTGAACACATGCGACAAAAAGGGTTGTTAGTGGATCATTGTCAGGTTAAGATGAACGGGGAACCGATTCCAATTACGTAATCGATAAAGGAACAAGCGTTCTATATTAAAGCAAATCTAAAATTTTTCCCTCTCAGTCTCAGACGGGAGAGGATTCTTGAAGATTGAATGAGCACTGAAGACTCTCATAGTCTCAGTGTTTTACCTTCTCAATGAGTTCAATACAAGCTTGCAGATCAAGACCAAAGTCAATAAAGACCCAGTCAATGCCCTCTCGCTTATATTCTTCTTGCTCCAGTACAAACATGTGATGGTTGAAGAATTGCTGGAGTTTTTCATTTGTGAAATTGATACACAGCTGTTCGAAGCCATTGAACTGCACGATAACAATGAAAATGGGCCGAATGAATAAATGTTTTCCATTCTTTTTGAAGTTCTTGGAAATTTTAGCCGAGCGGGACAAAAAACTGGGGCAATAAACATTTACGGACCCAAACATCGTTGGTGAACTTTACTGGAACAGAAGTTATTCTAGTGAGGAGAAATATTCCGTTAATTAGGAGGATTGGGAGGGAGTTTACATCTGCTCTGGGAACGTTGGGGGAGGGAATGGAATGAAGCATTGAATTACAATTGGGACTGGAAATAGCCAACGGGGACAGTACAAAATGCTGCTTTGCTTTCGTTGTTTGAAATTCATATATTATTACCAGGCACCAGCTTTGAGATTGGAATTAGTAACAACTCAATCATCTTATAAATAATATTAAGGGCTTCAACGCGGCTACAAGAACATGGAATATAGAATAAGTGTATTATAATGGGAAACATTTTCAAGGGGAATTCCAGCATGCATCTGTTATTCGGGAGGCGATTCGAAAATCGGGAGAATACATAACAACATATTGGAGGGAGAGCGAGGGAGACTGAGTTGGGTGGTGGGACACTGTAGGTTGAAAGGAAATACGTCTAGTAAGAAAAAAGTTTCCAAGTAAATGAGTTCTAGATAAGAAGTATGTGTCTTGAGTTATTCCTTGAGCTCGATGTTGAATGATTTCCCGATCTAGCCTAGTGGGGTCACTAGGCATGAGACTAAAACATGCTACTACGAGGAGGTGAAGTGCTGAAAAAACACTTATGAAAATGCGCTCACTTTGCCAGGGTCCACAAACATTTTGTGCCCAGTTGATGGAGTGCAAAATTCATTCAATATAGGGAAACTCGGATTCTAATTTTTACTATTGTTCTCATCGATGCAGGGGCTACTAATTCTCTAATATGACCTTCAAAGTGCATTTAAGGTAGATTCAATGCAAGAATAATAAATCGATTACGGGGAGCTAACTATGTCGCTAACGATAATTAAATCTTGGGAATGTACATCATAGAGCCTGCTAATTCGGGATTTAAGTTACCTTCTCGAAAAGTTCAATGCAAGCTTGTAGATCCATACCAAAATCAACGAAAGCCCAATCAATTCCCTCCTTCTTGTACTCTTCTTGTTCAAGAACGAACATGTGGTGGTTGAAGAACTGTTGCAACTTCTCGTTACAGAAGTTGATGCAAATTTGTTCGAAACCATTGTACTGTGGAAAATTTTTTGACAAGAATACAAAGAAGTGAGCGATAAGTAGAATAGGGTGAGGAAAATAAGAAGCATGAGGAAATAATTATCCAATACAAACGCCGCGTAAATGTCCACTCGAAACTCTCGGGCGAAGATTATTTAGAAGTCTTCGTTAGGTCTCGAGTAGCAGCAATTTTTTGTGAGCTTGAATGTAAGCATTTAGTTTGGCTTCAACGTGACATTTGTTATAGAATCCAATTCGGTCAAGAGAATTGGAATATTCTTTTTGAGTAAAGCTGTCGGACTCTAGGCATGGAAATATGCTGTCGAAGACATCATTTGTACCTTCTCGAAGAGCTCAATGCAAGCCTGCAGGTCCATACCAAAGTCTACAAAGACCCAATCAATTCCTTCGCGCTTGTACTCCTCTTGTTCAAGAACGAACATGTGGTGGTTGAAGAATTGCTGCAACTTCTCGTTACAGAAGTTGATGCAAATTTGCTCGAAGCCATTGAACTGTTAGATTTAAACAAACACTTTTGAGTCTTGCGTTCGCTAGTTCTTATTCCCTTTAGATGCCCAACGAAAGTTGGGTGATACATTTCCTCTTAGATAAAGTGAAATAAACTGTTGGAATATAAAGTTTTGGGGTTCGTACCGCTGCGCGAGATGGTCGAGCTGGGATTTAAGTATCCGCCTTATTTTGGCTTTTCGCACGTCGGTTAAAAAACTGGGGTGAATATTTTTTGGAGGAGGGACATATCCAAATTTTGGTTCGCACTCATAAAAAGGGACAAGTTGAAGAGCAATGTCAGAGATCTGATACATGGGGGACATGAAAAAACTGAAGAAGTCAGTATAACGAAACCGTAGTCAGTAAATGGAAGCTCCGGAAGATTGTTGAAAAAGGGAGACGCTTGAAATGAAATATAAAAGTGGGGACATACAAAGATACTTGGGGAAAATGGAGGGCTTAGATAAGTTTTCCAGAAAATATTAGACGACCACTTGCTGGTTTCTCGTATAAAAGGGGGGCGGGGGGTAAATATTGGGATTCCGCACGTGATGGAAACTTTGGACACTTATTACCTTCTCAAAAAGCTCAATGCAAGCCTGCAGGTCCATACCAAAGTCTACAAAGACCCAATCAATTCCCTCCTTCTTGTACTCTTCTTGTTCAAGAACGAACATGTGGTGGTTGAAGAATTGCTGCAACTTCTCGTTACAGAAGTTGATGCAAATTTGCTCGAAGCCATTGTACTGTCGACATTTTCAAGCAAAATATCTGAAATTGCATTCTCGGGCCACGCCTCAAATTTCTGTATAATAATTTGTAAGGATTGGATTGATTGGGTACATTTCTGGGGGTACATTTCTTGGAGGGGAGCCTAGAGAAATGGGGTCTGATCGTTCATCGCTGAATAACTTATCTAGGTAACGATAATCATCGCTAGGAATCAAATGGAAAAATAACTTGAACGAAGAATTTGGAAAAAATGAAGTGTAAGATTTAATGAAGACTATAATAATAATAATTATAACGTACATTTATATCAATATATTTCAGTATTTCAATATTTCAGCTATAATTACCGAGTGATATTAATATTCTTTTAGTGGAAACTTACGTCGAAGATCTCGAAGCCAGCAATGTCCAAGACACCGATGAAGTGGACACGCTTGAGGCCAGTCTCAAGAGTAACGTTACACTTCCTCACAAGCCACTTGAAGACGCGGTCAAACATGGCCTTAGCCATGGCACCGACGGAGTAGGATACTTGCTGCACGTTCCTACCCTGGGTCACGAACTCGTTACCGACCTTGATCTTGGGCTTGGTCAAGTTCTTGTACAGATCAGCGCCGTCAACGCCGAGCAGCTTGCCGACGATATCACCGACCTAAGGGAGAGAAAAGTTTCTCGCGTTGACGAAAAATGCTGAATGAAAGAACGGTTTGCAGGTAAATACATTAGGGGTAGGATACTGGTTTTCTACAATCGGAGTAAGAAAGAAATCAGTGAATGAAGATTCGGCTTATCCTGATGATTTAAGATAGTGAACTACCAATGACGGTTGATTGCAGTCGAATTAATTTGCTTTTAGATGCCTATCTTCACAGAATAATATATTCAGCCAATATTCTTCACTCGTTAAAAATATTTGAAATGAATACATATAAAAAGAACGATGATGAATTGCAATCAAACTAACTTGCTTTTCGATGCCTGTCTTCACGAAATAATATCTTCAGCCAGTATTCTTCACTCGTTAAAAATACTTGAAATGCATACATATATGTAAAAAGAACATCCTACTTAATCACCTCAGTGCCGTCGGGTTCAGCCTGCTCCTCTCGACCTCTCTGCTTGAACTTCATCTCACCGAAGTGCATGACGCTGGCAGTCACCTTGTAGCAGTCATCCTTCTCAGTCTGAGTGAAGCCCAACACATCGAAGGCAACCTGTGTGATGCAACGGGGAAATATGAGACGCTCTGCCCGTGAATATACAGAGTTTTTAGTTGCATGTGTTTCATTCAGCATCTATCCAAATAAAGATTATTTAGGTTAGATATTTTCAGATTATTTGGGATTGAAGTTGAAGTATTTAGGAATGTCGTGGTACTTTAGCGAAACATGTGACTGGAAATGCACCGCGAAATATTCCAAATTTCCTAAAAAGTGATTTTTTTTCAATAATTTTTGCTGTGAGAACAGTTTGATGTTGTTTTTTTCAGTGAACTAAAATGTGGTTGTCATAAAAAAAATTGTTTTGCATTACGGCTTCTATCTTCATTAAATTTAATATTTTCATAAGGTTTGAAGCAAAAATTATAATTCGCGTTAAAAATTACTACGAAATAAAAAAACATGCAATTACGTTATTGATAATTTAATTTGAGCATTAAAGTATCCTTAAGCAGCTGAAGAGAAACTATGAAATGAAATGCACAAATACGAACAGCTAAACATTATTCTAAGGAAATATGAACAACGGAACATTTAATCTGAAGAAATCTTAACAGCGGAACATTTACTTCGAGGAAATACGAACAGCGGAACATTTACTTCGAGGCAATACGAACAGCGGAACATTTACTTCGAAGAAATACGAACAGCGGAACATTTACTCCGAGGATATACGAACAGCGGAACATTTACGTCGAGGAAATACGAACAGCGGAACATTTACTCCGAGGATATACGAACAGCGGAACATTTACTCCGAGGATATACGAACATCGGAACATTTACGTCGACGAAATACGAACAGCGGAACATTCAATCCAAGAGGCTGGTATGTCAGCGGATAGTTCCAGAAAATGACTGGTATAGTTTCCAATAACGGAAAATTACAGCTGAATTCCAAACATGAATATAAAGATTTTTAGAAGTAAGTTTAAGAGGAATGAATCTGAGCAATTTATTGCCTTTTGATAAGTGGAAGGTATTTTTTGTTTGAATATATAATACAAGGCAATTAAACTGATGCAATTCAAGTGTTCAGGGTAGGGGACGATTGCTTTACATTTCCGTAATGTAGGTGGAAATTCTGGTTTATACGTCAAAAAGGGGACACGAGGAGGGACCTAATGTTGGTTAACTTACATCAGTGAACTCCATCTCTTCAGCATCATCGATGGATGCGACAGTAATTTTACCCTGGGACACATAGTGATAATCGTAGATGTCGTTGCTGAGGCAGCAGATGGCTGCACGTGCGAAAGGACAAGAAAAAAAATTTAAATTAACCTCCGTCTCTGTGAGGGCTATAACGTCACAATTATTGATTAAAATGCTAGCGCTTCGAAATCATCGTGAAATTTATGAGTTTGTGATGGTGAACTTTGTACAGGACGTGGTGATCAAGATGACAGGACATTAAAAAGCTTGTTGCTGCTACAACAGAAAACAATCAAATGCGAAAAGAAGTCTTAGTGATTACAGTATAGATAATGTTAATAACATGCTGGAAAAAGGCTAAAGTTTATGTTGAGAGGTCAAGTGAAACTCGTAAGTAAAAAGCCACTGAGTAACATCGTTGGTCACGGTGGATCAGAAGTGCAAATAAGGCGTTATTGATGGTAATGATTACTCCTATGGTTGCGACCAAAATTTGTAGGAAAAGGCGCATGCAAATTTTTTACTTTAAGCGATGACACCAAACTAGTTGGCGGATTACGACGCTAGACGATTCAACTGGTGAGGACAGACTTACGTCAGTGTATTCCATCTCCTCAGCGTCGTCAATGGAGGCAACAGTGACTTTGCCTTGGCTTACAAAATGGTAGTCGTAGATATCGTTTGAGAGGAAGCAAATTGCTGTAGGTTGTCGTCCACAACAAAGTGTCAGGGAAAGAGACAAGTAGAAGTCTTATTAATTTAACGCCTTCCAGTTGGAGACCGGGCAATTGGGGAACCATTTTGAAAAAGTAGCATTCAAGGAAAGGGTGACAATACTAAGGACAATAGGGAGTTTTATTGAGTCCATCAAGGGAATACAGGAACTTTCATGTAGCACAGCAGAAGTATTCGTGCCAACCATTATTAAAAGGGAACATTTTTCTCACATTTATTTGGTTGAAGATTATAAAACCACATACGATATAATTTATTTCTCAGAAACATGACTGGGGTTCCATAGACATGTTCATTTGAAAATAAATGCCGTCAGATATTTTGACGGGAATCAAAAGGAAGGGGGAACACAATGCATATTAAAAGTAATTGAAACTTTCTGTTGATAATACAGAAGTTAAGGGGCGGGGGGATTGCTGTCCGACGCTAGACGTCGACGACTTGAAGTTCCTGCACTATCATTGTTGATATTTTGCCAAACTTTTGAGAAAAGAAGTATACAACGCAATCAGCAATGAATTTGCTCATGCAAGTGAATTTTCACTGAAGGTCAACTACAATCAACGATGATAGCGAGCAGATTTCAATCAAATACATGAACGACGAAAGGATTTACTTTTACCAGTACTGAACAAATGTTTATACCTTGATCACCTGTTATTAAAGTAGACAACAGTTGGGTTCAAAAACTGATTGGGGCAGTTATTCGAAGAGTTAAAAGTTAAAAGATATGGGACAAAATTCTTATTTTGGGTGGGTGGGGTTTCCAGAAAAATAATAACTATCATTGACCTATCGACGGCCAATGTTTGGGGTGGACTTTATCTTAATCAAAGGGAATGATATTTTTATGGACGACAAATTAATTAAATTTAATAATTAATTAAATTACCGATAGGGAGGATGCCGATGGATGAAAAAATGAATATCATAATGCAACATGAAAATTCAATGTGGATCATTTCACTTACTGGGAAACATTCTGGGTATACCTCATAACACAGATCCAATAAATTTTACTCAATTGGTGATATCTTAACTTCCGATTATTCTCAAAAATACAAGATATTCTATGTATTCCAAAGGAAAAATAATGAGAATATGATAGTAATGTATAATCAGATTAATTGATGTCAATTTTTTTACGGAAAGGTTGTTCTGAAATAAGTTAAAATTAAAACTGATTTCTGCTTGTAGTTTTAAGCAAGTGTCTCGAAGCTTGACACTATTACTCTTAATCTTTGATACTGTTGTTGGGGATATATTTATATGTGTTTGTGAGGTGGTGAGACAGGAAGTGGTACACGTCGAAGTAGTATTATTATGTGAGTAGGACTAGTAGTAGATGGTGGTATGGCTGGTAATATGTGAGTATTGGCGATGTAAAGTACACATGCCATCATAGCCATTGCAGTAAACTGGAAACTACAAAGATATAGTTTATAGGTTGAATCGTTGATGAAAATTTTTCTGTTGTTGGTGTTGTAAATATGATGGTAAGTATAGTAGTTGCTGCTGGTGTAGCATTCAATAGTTTCAGTAGCCAAGAATTACTGTTGCATAGTTATTGTCATGAAAATGATAGTAATTAGTAGTTGCTGCTGGTGTACTATTTAATTGTTTATGTAGCCAATAATTACTGTTCCATAGTTTGTGTCATGAAAATGATAGTAATTAGTAGTTGCTGCTGGTGTGGTGAAAGGGAAACTTACGCTTGATGGTGGGGACCTTGTCGGACATCATCTGGTAGAAGATATGGTAGGAGCGCTCCAGAGGCTGCTGGGAGATGACACGGGCCTTCTCCAGCAGGTAGGTCTCAATATCAGCGCCCGACAGCTTGCCGGAGGAGCCGAAGTGGATACGGATGAACTTACCCTGGGGACAAACGGGATTTGTTTCTTAACGGGAAATAGAAATTCAAGACGATGTGCGCTGAATATATTCATTAGATATTTATCTATACATGTTAAGTGTTTAGCCGAAGTGGATACGGATGAACTTACCCTGGGGACAAACGGGATTTGTTTCTTAACGGGAAATGGAAATTCAAGACATTATCACAGTGCGCTGGATATATCCATTAGATATTTATCTATGCATGTTAAGGGTTTGGTTTAGGAACGAGTTTCCGAATCAGCGTCTACAGAAATTAGGAATAACATGATTGGATGGAATCAAAACGGAGGAAATTCGATAGAATTTAAGAAAAAGAATTGTTTGAATTGAAAGCTTAATTTTTTGACTGCGAACGTTTTTTTCTACCCTGAATGACCAAAAAATCGGAGTTGACGTTTATAGAATAAAGGTGAATAATTATAAAATTTGTTCGTTCAACGATGTGTTATAAGGTGAATTTGATGAAAGTTAAATTTCCACTTACGAAACGAGAAGAGTTGTCGTTACGGACGGTCTTGGCATTACCGAAGGCTTCCAGTACAGGGTTGGTCTGGACGATCTGGTCCTCCAAGCTCTGTACGCAAGGGTTTAATTGAGTCAGTTGGGTTTAATAATCTAGAACATTGGATTGATATATCAGAAAAATGGACGTTATTACGGACTTTTTAAGCCCTTCCATGATAATTGAAGGAACTATTTAACGAAAATTAGGGTCCTATTGACTTTATCCTTGCCCATTGTTTAGACCCAAAAGTAAATCTTGGAACTTTCAATTTTTACGAATCACCTATATTTTCACGAATCACCTCTATTTTTACGAATCACCTCTAGTTATGCACAAGGCAAGGAGTAAAGTTGGTAGTTATCAAGATTGAATTTGCGCTCATAAGTTCTACTGAAATATGTTCATGTTATATCCTAGAAACATAATCTTTTTATATTTCTTCCTAACCTGCTTCTGCTCGGCATCCTTCTTCTTGGGGTTGACGGCAACGTTGGCGAAGTAGGCAATTACCTTCTTGGTGTTCTCGGTCTTACCAGCGCCAGACTCACCACTGTTGGGCACAGGAACTTTTTGAGTGAATTTTGTATGCAAAATAAGAATAAATACGTACAGAAAATCGAGGAAAAAAAAGTTTATTTCCGAGACTCACCACTGTTGGGCACAGGCATTTTTTGAGTCAATTTTGTATGCAAAATAAGAATAAATACGTACAAAATCGGGAAAAAAGTCTTTTTCCAAGTAAAGCACTTTTTGAGGGAATTTTGTATGCAAAATAAGAATAAGTACGTATAAAAATCGGGAAAAGTCTTTTTCCAAGTAAATCACTTTTTGAGTGAATTTTGTATGCAAACTGAGAATGAATACGTATAAAAATCGGGAAAAAAGTCTTTTTCCAAGTAAAGCACTTTTTGATGAATTTTGTATGCAAACTTAGAATGAATACGTATAAAAATCGAGGAAAAAAGTCTTTTTCCTAATAAAGTTGCTGAATGACGAATGCAAAATTTGATGGTGATATTGAATTGCAAAGTGAAAATTTGATTAAATTCAACATGTACTAATATTTAACGCTGCATGAAAGAAAGGGTGCTTGGTATATATGTCATTCGCTTTTTTTTTCATTATCTACATTTTTGAATTAACAATACCGATGGATTCCATATTTATTGTCATATGTTCACAAAATTAATAACGTTAGTATTAAGAAAAGAAACTTACGTGATAAGCATAGACTGGTTGTCGTGGTCTGTGTAGAAGAGAAGGAGGGAAAATTTATTAGAAAATTATTATCAAGCTTAATTTATTAGAAAAATTATTCCTAGGCAAAAGACGGGAAACCTAACCGTGAAAAACTATGCACGAGTCTAATATTGTAATCTGACGTTTTCAACATAGTGTGAAGGAACTCGCATCGTATGATAATTCCATTTTACCATTTATATGCAAATAAATTTACGGTTTTAACTTCCGAATGTCCGTTCAACCATCATCATTGGTTGAGAATATAAGTATTCAATCTTTACTTGTTGGAGCTTGAATTGAGAATATAAGCATTTTCTTGGAGCTTGAATAAAAATGTTGGAGCTTGAATAAAAATCTCATAGTTAAAAAATGTCAGGTTCTCGCCCCTGTTTACTCATGCTCTGTAGGGTGGAGATTATAAACATAACCAAAATAGACTGGGTGGCTGGTAGGGTCTCTGACGGCCGAGAAGAAGTATTGGACCAGAGCCAAAGTTGAGCCCCAAATTGAAGTTTAGAGGTGAAAATATAAAGACCCGTTGATCAGGTAACTTTTTCAAATGTTGTTTCATGCACTCAGTTTGTATATAAATTTTGATTTGAATCGTATATGTACTGAAAGATAGTTGAAGAAATGAATTTGAACTGAATAAAATAATTTAGCTAGTGGTTTACTCGAAATTGTCCTATCATCGTCAAACAATCGAAGTTCATTAAAATACCGAAGGTAACTTTGATTTTTCGTTTGGTGTTAGAAATTATTTGGAAAGTAATGTGACACCAGTTAACCCAAAAGTGATATGAACGAAAAAATCATCAATCTGATTTCACATGAGGCATGCCGCTTGAGCTTTTTGATGTTTCAACTCATTCATAAAGTTCGTAAAATGCCTGACATGTTGCCAATTGATATGCAAATTTCCAATTCAACTAATTTTATTAAATGAAGCCACTTACTCTGCAACATGTCCATGTAGGCACCATCGGAGATGGCAAAGATGTGGGGAGGCACCTCATTACGGCGCTTGCCAATGTAGATCTTGGTGGTGCGGGCGGTGTAGATGGGGTAGCGCTTGTATGGGTTGATGGCAACGCAGAAAAGCCCAGAATAGGTGTAGATCAGCTTGGTGATGTAACGCTGCTTCAAGTTGTACAAGACGGAAGCGTCGTTGAGGTAAGTCAAGTTGGACATGTCCTCGCACTTCTCGAACTTGGGAGGGTTCACCTGTCCTACCAGGTCCTTCTTGAAGTTCTTGGTCTCGCCACCGGGTACGACAACAGTGACCAAGTCACCCTTAGTACCCTGGATCTCACCCTGGACGAAACCTTCCTTCTCGTCGGGTACCCAGCAAGCCTTCTTGCCATCGTAGGGCTTGCTAGAGTCAATTCTCTTCTGTTCCAGAGAGACGTACAAGTACTCCGTGGGATCGGGATCAGGTCCCGTGCTCTTAAGGCTGATGTGGCCAGGCATGTTGGTGGCACAGAAGCGGTTGGTCGGAAGATTCTTTCAAGTCAGACACACGGTATCGCCAGAACAGCCCTGGGCTTTCCTGTAAACAGTGGAAACGCACACGTTAGTGACAGGTAATTATTGCTGAAATATTATGTAAATGATAATTACACTAAATGTACAAAATTTGGTGGGGGAACTATCGTTGCTTGTTTTAACAGAGGAAGGTGGGTTAATTAACTGTCTACATTTTCGTATTTAAACTTGGCTAAACCTCGCGTTCCGCTTTGTTCCTAAATATAATAAAAAATTAGACGAGATTGGCTCCGCTCACTCGAAGGATAGACCTACAGGGTTATATACGTGTGATCTGCGAATGATTTTAATAATTGCCTTGAAAAATACGAGTTTGAGGCATCAAGAATAAACGTTTTACCTAAGAAGAATCTTAGATCTGCTCCGACTGAGAAGCCAGCGACTCTGTAACTGAGGCACTTGCCTCTTATAGACTAAAGGCGCCTTGGCCTCAAAATAAACCTTAGTCATGCTTCTTGAGCCTCAACGCAGCCACCCTTTGCCAAGAACCTATGGCAGAATATGTTTTTTTTTCGTTTATAAGAGATAAACTACAGAGAAAGTTTTCCTCTACAAGCTAATAATTTAGATTCAAGCATCAGCCCATAAATTTAACAACGTCTAGGTTAGAAATTTCATGACAAAATTTCAGAGTTGAAAATAAAATTTGATGTTATTGTGTTATTGGTGAAAGTCATGAGTTTTAGTATGTAATTAAAATTAGATAAGTTTTTGTTCGTTTATCAAATTCTACGTTCAATTCATTAGGTCCATAATCGTTATTAAACCCCATGGAATTTGAAACAAATTTTACTCTGAGTGGAAATGAAATTGTTTTTACTTTTAATTTAACGTGTAGGCCAATAATAATTCACGATCTAGATCAAGTCGCTGATCTAGAGCACAAACCATCATGACTTAATTAAATGCAAATATCTAATTTGGAAGAACATTGAAATTTACAACTTTTATTGATATAATTAGGAAATTTTGGTCGGAAGATTAACTCTTTAAAGTAAAATGCTTTAAAGTTTAATCAAATGGAATGTTATTTACTTAAGAAGTGGAGGCGACAACTTGAAAGTGTAATTCTATTGTAAGGTTTCAGAAAAAACAATTCTTAAATAAAAAAGTTAGAGCTCTGAAAATAACTGCCGCTCATAAGTATCGCGCAACACCAAATATAAGCTCAGAGCCCCAATAAAATATAGTATAACATAAACATTTAGTGGCTAGGTAATAATTTAAAAGCCAAAATGATGTAAAGTGATTGATATTTGAGCTATTTTATTTAAAGGGGCAAGTCCACGATAACGCGCCTAAATTTAGCGAATACATTTACTATTAAAAAATGTATTAAATACTATTAAATGTATTAAATACTAAAAAATACTATTAAATTTTTTTTCAAAAAGTGAAATGTAATTTTAGCAAAAGGGTGGTTTTAGGATTAAGGAATTAGGCAGGTTTGGTATGAAGTCTAGAGAGGATAAAATTATGATGGAGATGCTTCCAGGAATTCGTTTCCGGTAAAATTTGTTATTCATAAGTTATTTTAAATAGGTTATTGTAACGTATAATTAAAATAAGTTATTTTATAACGACGAACTAGCACGTTTTTAACAGCTTCGAATATAAAAAGACTGATTGAGTGCTGTGAGGCACTTCCATTGAAGCATTTCTTGGTGGATGAATTTATTCTTTATTTATTCTTAATTTGTGAATTTATTCAACGACTATTGATATGATGAAGAGTTATTTGATTATTGATTAAATTATCTTCAATACAGTGAACTAATTATGTAGCTATTGGGTTTGTATAATCATCATGAAGACTATCTTATTTCAGTATTCAAATTAAATATTTTGTCTTAACTCTGAAATAATTAGATCTGCTGGCAATCTTTTTAATTTTTATTCACAACTTTTTTCATTAAATTTTGAAACTATAATATTTAAATGGAAAAGTTCGTATGAACCCAGAAATTGTTTAACTTAATAGATACTCGGACATGAATACTATGAATCACTCGAAAAGAAAACAATTCGATGATCGTGATGTTAATTGAACGGAAGTTAATACACAGAAACCAGGCGCGATATCTTCACGTAGAGGGATGCCAACACTGGATAACCATAGGAAATAATCGAAGGAGACAGCATCCTGTCTCTAGCAACTGGAATATTTCCATATTTAATGAAATTAAGTAATTTATTAAAGAATTAATACTTTCTTGAAGTTTTTATTGCAATAAGTTAAAATGGAATATATTATTATGAAGGTAAAATATAATCGATAAATGAATTAATACTATCTTGAAATTTTAATTGCAATAAGATGAATCGGAATATATTATGAAGGTAAAATAATAAGGTCCACATCACATAGTTGCGTTGCCACTCCTTCGATCATTTCCAGTAATTTTGGAAATGTAATTTCCCTCTACACAAAATCGGCATCACCACAAACAAGCACTCCTCTGCAACTCCGTCTTGTCCACTTACAATCGAAAGCTGTTCTGTCACGGGCTGCGGGCTACCCGCGCTTTTAAACCCCCAATGCAATGTGATCTCCCGAAGTGGAATCTCTTCTCTACGGCCGTTGAAACAAGCCACGTGATTGGTTGTTCGTGAGAGGGTTACGGCTTTAGTACGCTTCTCCGACCAATCAGAAGGTGTCCTGGTCTCGGAGTTCACTTGGATGTAGTTGATGACGTAGCTCGAGCTACCTTTTTAGGGCGGTCGGGTTCTTCACGAGCCAAGATTCCTATCGTCTAAAGCTTTCGGCCGAGGGGTTTTCTTCCTGCGGTATTTATTGGCACCAGAGGCGGTGTGTCATGTAGGTCGCAGCGCTCTGTGTCTCTTCCGACCACCGTCTCGGTCTGTACGGCCGTTATGCACCGTCTGTACGGCCGTTATGCACCGTCTGTACGACCGTTATGCGCCGTCTGTACGGCCGTTATGCACCGTCTGTACGGCCGTTATGCACCGTCTGTACGGCCGTTATGCACCGTCTGTACGGCCGTTATGCACCATCTGTACGGCCGTTATGCACCGTCTGTACGGCTGTTATGCACCGTCTGTACGGCTGTTATGCACCGTCTGTACGGCTGTTATGTACCGTCTGTACGGCCGTTATGCACCGTCTGTACGGCCGTTATGCACCGTATTTAGAGCCGTTCTTAACAGTCTCCACACTACATTATTTTATTACAATCTACACTCTACGCTATATCATATTGAAGGAAACATTTGTAATGAACCCATCAGTGATTAAACAAGCATCTCGTACAGTAGAAGCTATTATAAAAAGGAATATAGAAAGTGAGTTTTTTGAGGGTGTGAAATTGAATCCGTGAATCAGGCCTGATATTAAGAGACTACCTTCCTCTCAAAGTGGGCTTTCAAAGTTGTCTCTAATAGTGGGCTCTCAAAAAGGACTTCGAAGAGAGCTCTATAAGAGAGACGTAAAGAGCTCTAAAAAATGTAAAAAGGGCTCTCAATGAGAGCTTCCAAAGTGGGTTCTCAAAAAAGCTCTCGAAGAGGGTCTCAGAGATGCTGTTTGAAAGGGCTCTCAAATAAAGCTCTCTAAGAGGGCACTCTCAAGACTTGGTGGATGACAGTTACAAATTTTTTGTCGCTCAAGCAAGAAATGAGGCTAATTTCCACCCACGCAGGCCATGAGTCACCCCATCTCATATAATCGTGCCCATTTAATTATAAAACACATTACCATGTTGTTGTTAACCGGCTTAATGCGAACAAGTAAGTTCGATTTTCACGTGGATTCCAATTTATTTATTCTCCTATAGCTAAAATATATGAGAAAGGTTTTTTTTCAGTACAATACGATGGTTTGACCCTAAACTATGAAGTGATATTCAATTGATAAAAATTATGAAATGCCCAAAAAGCTTAAAAAGTTTAAAATCCGTTCAATGAAAACAAATTTTTGGTAGTCCAGTATTATTATATGACAATGTCTAATGTGATTATTAAGTGAGTTGATAATTATTTGAATCAAACGCAACCATCTAGATTTCTACATACGGCAAAAAAAAATTATGAACGGGTTCACGAGTAATGTATTCGAAAACCATGAAGTCAAACTAAAGCATATAATTTCAATGAATTAAAAATAAAAAGTAAGAATATTATTAGGTAATTACGTAATAAAAATAATCTTTAATTAACAAATTTTCGCGTTAATAATTGAAGGGGTCGTTAGGTAAGATTCTATTAAAAAAGGACTTCTGAATTAAACACACCATTGATGAAAATCGGCAGGTTCTACCATTAAACCAAAGAAATTGTTTCATAAATCAAACAGAGCTACAGATTATTCGACCAACATATAATAAATAGCTATGGCCAATTGCCCATGAAGCGAGCTGAAGTCGCTGATTCTAGAGCACACACGGTGGCTTTGATAGGTAAACTTTCTCGCCATTTCTGATGACTTATATCTACTTCAGAAGCAAAGTTTACGTGACAATTCATATATAAACTTGAGTTATGAAGGGCGGGCGAAAGGAGTTTATTAAGATGAAATTTACAGTATTGGTTCACGCTCAAGACATGAAAAGATGAGTACAAACAAATTGATGTTATCAATAGATCGTACACTTCACAATAAATTGATTAATCATAGTGAACTGCGCGCCAATATTATAGCTATGAATCGTGAATGATGTAATTGCAAATAAGAAGGGGAAAATTAACGATTAAAGTATTGAAAATGTTACTCAAATCAATATTCTATATATTGATGTCTGACACAATTTCAGATGGTTTAATTTGCGTGCATCATCCTAAAGCAGCATTTGCATTAAGCAGTAAGTATAAATTAACTTGCTGTTTCTCAAGATTTCAAGCCCCAATAACAGCAACCCATAGTTAGTTGTTTATGGTAAACATCTCTAAGTAATTTTCCATAGGTTATTCTTGTGATACATTTATGTCATTTTACTGGAATTTATTAATACTTTTATACGCGAAATTTTTCTTTCACTTCACCGGCGTTGGTACTGCAAATTTGACATGCCAAAAT